GGGTGGATCACTTGAGGTCAGGAGTTCAAGACCAGCCTGGCCATCATGATGAAATACGTCTCTACTAAAAACACACACACACACGAAATTAGCCAGGTGTGGTGGCAGGCACCTGTAATTCCAGCTACTTGGAGTGCTGAAGAAGAACTGCTTGAACCCAGGAGGCAGAGGTTGCAGTAAGCTGAGATCATGCCACTCCATATTCCATCCTGGGCAAGAAAGTGAGACTCCATCTCAAAAAAAAAAAAAAAGTTGGCCCTCCATATCTGAGGGTTTTGGATCCACAGATATGACCAACTACAGATTGGAAATATTCAAAAAATATATTAAAATTTAAAATAATACAGATAAAAACAACAAAGTATAGCAACAATTTACATAGCATTTACGTTGTTTTCGGTATTATAAATAATCTAGGGATGATTTGAAGTACTGTACAGGAGGATGTGCAAAGGTTATATGCAAATACTATGTCATTTTGTAAAAGGGACTTGAACATCCTTGATATGCTCAAGATTTTGGTATGGGAGGGGAGTCCTAGAACCGATCCCCCAGGGATACAGAGGGATGGCTGCATATCCTGAGCATTTCCCCTTATCAAAGTTTAAAAAACATGTTATCTCTTTATCCCATGGTAGAAGAGGTAATAGTTTTGTAATAGAAATGTTAGCTGGGCAACAGCAGAGTTAGGTAAGTATTAATGGCTTGACTCAAGATGCTGCCTCACCAGGAAAGCAGAGATTTTTGTCTGTTTTATCCACTGCTACTAGCACACTGCCTGGCACATATAGATGCTCAATAACCATTTGTTTAATGAATGAATAAATGAGTGAGTGGGTGGGTGGATGGATGGATGATTACAATGGTCTGAGCCGAGCCCCTCCCTCTCTTGCTTGCATCCTCCTAGGAGGAAAGAGACCAGGTTTCTAACCTGAACCACCAGGTTCCAAGATATCAAGATCTATCTGTTGGTCAGGTGATTTTGCTAGGCAGGCGAGTGAGTCACAGAAGGGAAACTTTCTCATCCTTGGTGAGTCCTGTGAACTGTGACTCATAAACCTTCCCTTACTCTGCAGCTTAAAACCTCCCAGGCCACCTTGCCCTCACTCCTTGGGCAAGTTTTAGATGCCTCCTGCACCAGGCCTGCCCTGGCAGCTGTACCCAAGGTTTGGCAAGGCACTGGAGCCAGCTAAGGGGTTCTCAGGGCCTCGGAGCTGCCTCTGATCAGCTTGGCCCCCCACACAGCCGGTGTGTTCCCAGGATTTGCACCTGAAGCTTCCTGTGCACAGCAGCCCCACAACCAGAGCTCAGCAGCAGAGGTGAGGGACGGATGCTGGGTGTTCCCAGAAGGCTGAGGATCCTGAAGGTCCCAGAAAATCCTGCCCGTAGAGCTGGGAGGGTGAGCACAGTTGGGCAAGAAGAAGGCTTCCTCAGTGTTCCCTTGCCGGCCCCTGGCTGAGCACCCCAAACCAAGCCCGGTCTGGAGGTTACCGCAGAACCTGCGCAGGAACATGGAGACCTGATGTGGGGAGGAACGGTGGTCCCAGGTCCTTAAGGTCAACTCAACTCTTTCTCCAGCTTTAGGGCCCTCCTTTCAGCTCTACAGTCCAAGATCCTGATGTTCCACAAGCCTGGTCCTCATGGGTCTGAATGAGCTCAGGAAACCTGGGACTCCAGGCCACTACAAACACACACAGGGCTTACATGTGGAGTATTTCACTGAACTAGATAAAATTTCTGGTTATGTAGGTGAAACATAGTTGCATATCAGCAAATTTATGTTATTCGACTTAATCATGAAAGACAAATACTTCTAGCAGGTTTCATGGTGAGGCCAGAGGAGGGTGGGTTGAACTTTAACCCCTCCTCTTCTCCTTTGCTCCTTCTCCTTGAAGGACCCCACTTCGCTTTCAGTAACTGGGAGCTTGGCTCTGGGAAGGAATGGTAGACAGTGAGGCGGGGGTGGAAGCAGGGGGCCGGGCACTGGATAGGAATGGTTGGTTCTGGTTCTCCCCTGGCTCCCGCAACCCCAGACCCCTGAGAGCAGCTGGGACAGCCATAAGAATTAAGAGCCCAGAGATTAGAGGAAACCAGACAGTGGAGGGAGAAAGATAAACTCAAATAAACTCTACCCCGTTCCTCTTGAGTCTTGGCAGGACAAAAAGTGCCTGCTGGAGAAAGAAACTTGAGCCTAGAAGGATGGTATTATTTAATGGCCTAGGGTCAGAGACATTGGTAAAAAGCCTCTGAGTTTGGTAAGCCTCAAGAGCTGCAAGCTAAACTGGGCGAGGAGGGCATCTTAAACACCACTTCTCCTCGAAAGAGCACTGCAGACGGTCCCTATAGGGGAGACTGTCTTCCCCAATGTCAAGGAAAGGTCATCCAGCAGAAGCCCTCATGTAACGCGCTTGTCCCATAAGTATGCACCAGAGGGCAGTATAAACCCAGGTATGGAAAACGGGATGCGCTGATAGATTCTCTACTGTTGACTTCAAGTAAGGGGCATCACAGAACTTATATAAAGACAGCGCTGAGGAAATAGGTGTTGAGTGGATTACTGACGCACGGCCACCTTCAGAAACCTTCAATGGTAGGTAGAGGAAGCCTGGCAAAGATGGAGGAGAGAGAGAATTTGCTACCTCAGAATTGACTAACATGGCCAGCTCCCAAATAGCCAGAGGGCCTCCCCATCAGTTCAGGCCAGGAAACAATGACCAGACCCCTGTTATGTTCCAGGCACTGTGCTAGGTACAGGAATTTAAAGGTGAATAAAACACAGTCCCTTCCCTGACTGAGTTCCCCTGATAGCTATGCCCATCTCTTTACATTTATTATCTCATTTAATCCCAACCACAGTAAAGTGCTAGTAAATCATCCTCTGTTTACAAATCAGGAAAGACAGACTCAGAAGGCAGAAGTAACTTGTCTCACCAGTAACTGGCAAAGCTGGAGTTTAAATCCAGTCTCTTTGGATTCAGAACCTAAGTTCTCACCGCTGTGCCAGAGCCTTCGTATATGTGCCCTCAGCAATGAGCAGGTCTGTTTGTCATCTCAGTACTGGCCAGGCTGTCAGGGTTACATCCTAGGCTGCCAGACTGTGTGGGAGAGGCCTGAGAGGACGCTTGTCCCCAGAAACACAAAAGTTCCTTTGGACTTGGATTTCTGAGTAACATAAATCAATGACTAAGATTTGAAAATGTATGTAACCTATGTAATATATAAAACAGACATGCAGAGTAAGGATACCAGCTTCTGTGAGTGGAATGCCTATTCTCTACAGAATAGGAAAGGAAAAGGCTGAATTAGGTGAGGTTGCAGTGAAATTCCTTCAGTATCAGGTTTAACCCAATATGGACTAGGAAGTCACTGAAGATCTCTCATCAGAGGGATGATGAGGCAAAAGTGGCATATGCTGCCCATCCTTGTAT